ATTGTCATAAGATTCATCCTGATCCTAAGATTCATGCTGAGCATGGACTATGCTCTGGCTTGTGCTGGCATAGACCAGAATAGCTGAGATCACATTTTTTCCTCAGTTCACGCTGCTCTGCGCCGTGATTTCAGTAGCAAAACACAAGGTTGCAGCAGTTTTTTTCCACAGTCCTTGCATTTGGGTGTTGCCTTCCACAGAACCTGACTTCTTATCTCAGTGCAAGCATGTAGGTTCCCTTTTCTCTGTTTGCAGTGGTTGCCAGCTCTTGCTTCACTTCCTTCCTCGCGAGCTGCTGCCGGCTTCTGCTTGATTTTTGTTGTCACCAGGAGTTTGGGGTTTTTTTTGTTGTTGTTTTATTTTTTTAAAAAAGCATCATGTTGCAAGTCACTTCCCAGTGGATTAAAAAAACCACAAAACAACCTGTTTCAGTATCTCGGCTCCTTCTGAGAGTTGTTCCTTTTTTTTCTTGTTTCTTAGGAGCGTTTCCTTCGGGTGGAGCTGATGAGCGAGGCTGCGAAGGACGGGGCCGTCGTCACTTGTTCTGTGCCACAGTGTAGGAACACACTGCGGTCCAGCTCCTTGCTGGTTGTGAAGAAGCTCCCTTTGACCAACGTAAGTGCCTTCTCTGGGCCTTTGAGATCACTTTTCTGAATCAGGAGCCTTCCCAAGCCTCTACGGTCGCTTGGAGGGCGGCTGTGCTCTGTGACTGTTCTCAACTATCGCACCGGGGAGGAACAACCTCAGTGCTAAGCCTCAGTGGAAGGGAGCAGGGAACGTCCCAGAGCTGGATCTCCTGCCCGCAGCTCCCCAGCCCTTTGTTTCTGCTCACAATCCCGGCTCATAAATTCCCAACCGCCTAATTCAGGGTGGTGGTGCAATTCCCACAGATCCACTCAAGCCTTGACCTCTCTTCTGAGACTAGTTGTGGTCTCAGGTGGGGCTGGTTTGGGGGGTTTGTTGTGTCGTATCCCATTTCTGACTTTTAGAGCCTCTGCCGAGGCCATCGAACATCCATCTGGGCTTGGCAGAGCACCCCTCGCCCCTGCCAGCCAGCTGGAAGTGACAGTCTGACTTTCGGGTCCAGTTTTGCCTTCAGTCCCACCTTCTGCCTTGGGGGTTGATCCTTGCCCAGAAGGTGCGGCAAAGGCCAGGTTTCCCTAGCTCTGAGATCTGCAAGCGTGCAGTAAATCTGGTGGAGCTCCATGTCCACAACAAGAGATAGCAGATGGCTCCCAGCCGTCAGCAGGGGACACGAGCACTGAGACGGGCAAAGCCTCGTCCTTTACTGGCAAAGACCTGCACAGCAACATTTTCAACAAGGCTCAGGGCTGGGTCCTGCACTTGGGGCACAACAACCCCAGGCACCGCTGCAGGCGTGGGGAGGAGCGGCTGGGAGCTGCCCGGCGGGAAAGGGCCTGGGGTGTTGGT